ACAGCTTGGAGTCTGGTTTGAAGCACTACGCTTGGACATGGCTTGGAAGCCATGGTTTACATTCTGGTAGAGGTGTCCATTAAACTGATCAAATCTAAACAGTTTAAGATTATTTGCATTATACTTTTGCAATCTGGCATAAAATAGAATTTGGCCAGGAAGTTTAGGCAGGAACTACAAGAATTTGTGTTCAAGCACAACTCTACTTACCATTATCTGTGTTGCAATTGTACATTATTTGCATATTATTTTTCAGAAAACCAAAACATTTATTCTAGCATGTTGCAGATTTTTGCAGAAATGTTGGCAGAGATCTTTGTCGTAGCTGGTTTTGAAACATGTTTAGGTAACGGGCTGCCAACAGATTGCCCTTTCAAGATTTTTATTTCACTCCCAGCTATGTGCAGAAATCTTTGAAGAACTTGAAAGTAACCTGTCTTCCCTTAACAATTATTTTTATCTTGAATGGTTGTTCCCACATCAGATACAGGTTTATAGGTGAATTCCCACATCAGATACAGGTTTATAGGTGAACCCGAGAGCCTGAAGTCCTCATGTCTGATGCAGTGCATGCTCCTATCCACGTCTTACAGGAGTTCCCACATCAGATACAGGTTTATAGGTGAACCCGAGAGCCTGAAGTCCTCATGTCTGATGCAGTGCATGCTCCTATCCACGTCTTACAGGAGTGGCAGCTGCGCAGACCTCCGCTTTCCCACTCAGATGGATGTTGCATTTGCCCCTGTAAAGTCTGATCTGAGGTCCTCCTGGGCAGGGATCCCCAGCTAGCTGTAGCACCTCTTATACTATTTTCAATTAGTTTGATGCTAAAGCTGTGATCTCTGCTGCTAGGGCTTGATTATGAAAGAGAAGCTGGATATCAAGTCATCAGAAAATGCATTTCTCTTGCTTTGTTTTTTCTAGCTGGCATTTCTGATGGATTCTGGAGTTTTCCTTTGGGGCTGCCTTCTTTACATTAACAGCCAACATGGGGTGGGTGATAGAATCTTATGACCTCTGGTTGTGGTGTAGCTTAAGTGAAAGCCAAGCAGAGGCTTCACAGGGTTATTACTATTAGTCTTGTGCAAAGGTTGGTTTTCATTTGAAGTCTACCACACTTTTTAGTGATAACATGGTGGATTTTTTTAGTTTTTTTTTTTTCTTAACAAGTGGGTAAGGTTCCTTCATAACACACAAGAATTTGAAAGTCAGTCAGTCAGAGAGAGCCTGAGATGCTTACATGGCATGTTATGGAGGTCCTGAAACCTACCATCTGCCTGTGCTGTAGAGAATAGAAGACTTGGATCTCTTTGAATGAAAGTAGTGGCTCCAACTGTGTTGCAACTGCATCTAGGCTCCAAAGTAGGCTTTAAAAGAGCCATGAAATTCTTTTCCCAGTTTCGTGAAAGCACATTTAACCTTGAGCCTCCCAGCGATGTCCCATTTAACACAGCCACATGGGTCTTTTAGAATTAAAATTAGTGACATCATCCCTGCAAGACCTCAGTTTTGCAGAACACCTCATTGTGGACTGCCAAGGATGGAGCAGGCGGACACTGCGCTGTCCTTGAGTACCTGCTGCTAGGAAAAGCACAGGAGGACTGCCCTGTGTGGGAAGCGTATCACCAGTCTTGGTGTTCGCTCTTCAGATGATACAAGGGGAAGTTATGGCTCCTTTTTGTGGTAGTCATACATACAGGCATATGTCAGTACATTCAAAAGCGTGGAAGTGATTACTTGGTAAGGAAGAAATATGAGCTGAATTATTTCTTTGCCCCAGCAACATAAACATAGGTAAAGTCCCACTGCAGTCTTTTAATTTTATACCCTAATTCATATTCTGATATTCACATCCTATTTATGTCATGTTGCCTACTATGTGTGTGTTTTCTACATCCCTTCCTTTGTCTCTGCAGCCTTCATTATGTTCTCATGCCTGCCTTGATTACCTATACTTGTTCTTGTCCTCGTTTGTCTCAGTTGGATGGATAGAGTCCCAAACAAATACCGTCTTCACAGGTACTGATCTCTGGGGCTGTCAAGGCAAATCTCCCTTCTGCCCACTGGTTACATTTATCACTTGCAAGTTGCAGACAGAATTACATACATGTGACAGGGAGAGCTGGGACCCAATTGCTTTAGAGCTATATCAAAGACAAGACACTGTATAATACCACATAAAGTTTGACTCCTTTTCAAAAAATCCTTCTTTTCATTACTTCCCTCAGGGAATAATTGGGAGTGTATAATGTGGTTACTGCATTTTCTCGTTTGATATGTGCACATCCAAGACGGTATCCTCCCACAGAAGGATTTTTGCTTGGAGAAATGAAATGCCCAAGTATGTTTAATTAATAAATCATGCATTTTTACGTGTGTCTGCATTCATGAATCATATGACATGAGCTAGGCAAAATACAACTGCTTAAAAGCAAGTGGTATAATAAATATGACTTGGAAATAGCCACTTGAACCATTTCAAAGCCTCTTCTTAATGGCAGATTTCAAATGCTTAACAACTTCAAGTGGAAATGTAAATTTTCAAAGACTTTTTTCATTGTGAGGTAATTCATCTGCAGGAGACATCCTGACAGCTATGTTTAAAGTTAGTAGCCCTGGAGAACAGTGGAATCACCATTCCTGGAAGTTATTAAAAGATAGTAGATGTGGCACTTAGGGACATCATTTAGTGGTTGGACTCAATGATCTTAAAGGTCTTTTCCAACCTAACCCATGCTATAATGGCTACAGCCTCTACCAGGTACCTTGCAGGGGGTGTCTCTTCTGACATAAAAGATGCTCTACCCCATAGACAGGAGTGCTCACTCCATTTCATAATGAGGTGCTGAAGGAATGTTGGCTTTTTGAGTGTGTGAAGGCAAGCTCTCAGTCACTAGCTATGATTCATAACTACAAAAATATTGGTAAGCTCACCAGTACCTGGCTGAGCCGGTTCTCCTGGAGGTGTGAAGACTTGTGATATCCGCCCCCTATCCACAAGGCTTCAGATAAACCAAATAAGCCCAAGTTTTTGAGAGCGTCAAGTGCTCCAGGTCAGACACAGCACAGCGCTGCTGTGCAGAGGTGCTGGCTTCAGCCCAGGAGGCTGTACCTCTGCGTGCATGAAGCGCTAACCCAATCTAGTAAATCCTGCCTCTCCAAAGATGCAGTCAGCGCAATCTGAGAAATGGTACGGCCACGACAGCTTCGCCCTGCCATGGCCATACCATTTCTCAAGCAGTAATGTTTCTGGCTGCAGAACCGAACTTGTTTGGCACTAACATGAATGACTCTGCTCAGCAATGTAGAAATGCCTGAGAAGCCTTGACTTCCAGAAATGGAGAAGTACTGACCCACTGAAAATCAGGCTCCTTTAACGCCACCTCAGATGGCGTGCTCAAATATCAAAGCATCTCTAGTATTTATTACACTTTCGAAAGTAAAGCTGTAAATTCTTATTCACATAGAAGAATTGTATGTACCCTGCAACAAAGCTACCAGATTTTCCAGTAAAGACTTTGTGAGGTTGTATTCACTGATCTCATTAAATCTTGAGATCATTCAGTAGTAAGCACTGCTTACATTCAGGTATTTGTTGTATTCTTTCTGATCATTCTTTATCCTGCCTACCAGATAAGTCCTTGCCTTTGTTTAGATTAGGAATTTATATTTTTAAATGGTTGACATGTATTTATATTTTTAGCAATGCCATTTTCCCAGGTGCTACCCAAGTTTCTTCCGGAAGATCTAGCCAACATAATGAATCACCGACACAGTTCTCTTTTTCACAATAGGAAATGGCAGATGTTTGAAACAGTGTCTACTAAAAACAAATAATACTGATTTTCTTGTAATTTCTGTAGCAATGCTGTGTGCTGCCCAAGCATGTGCCTAAGTGTTAGATGGGGCCTGGGGAATAAAGCATAGGATGCTGTGATAGGCAGCTCAGCACGGTGTAGGGTTGCACCATGCACTGGTGATTCCCAACAGCCCAGTTCCTGAGCTGCTTCAGCCAAAAGGGAACCAGAAAAGACAGGGGTGAATCCCAGACCCTGCCCCTGGGAGCATATGTTAGAAAGACATCCCTCTCCCAAAACGGCTGCCCTGACTTCCCCGACACACAACCAGCCCCCTACTTCACCCTGTATTCATTTTCTAGCCTGCTGGTTTTTAAATTCCTTCTGGCAATGTAATACAGTTTTCAACCCATTATGTCAGGTTCATGTTTGTCACCTCTTAACCTCTGGATATGTGTTTTTCTTTTGATCCTTGTTTTCCAACATACCTAAGAGAAGGCTGTGCCTAAAAGAGTAAAGATTCATTCCTTCTGAGGCTACATATTCATTTTGTTCAATTAATATTGTGGAGAGAGAGCGCTGGTGGGTTTTGTATGTATACATTACTAGAAACCAAAATGACTGTGTGCTGGAGATAAAATTAGCTTTTGAAATTCCTTTTTGCCTCTAAAACAAAAATAGCAGAATCTGCCTTTAATTGACCACCTCAGTCATCACAGAGGCTTCCTGCGTGCAGAGGCTTTGCTTTTAGTATCTGTGTTGCCTTAGCTTTAAAGAGTAGTCTTTATTTGCAAGTTTGTTATAGAAGCGTTCAAATTAGAGGTGGGCTGAAACCGCAAAGTGTATGTCCGGATCTGGATGCAACTTTCTGAAAGTTTCAAGGTCCAGGTTTTTGATTGGCCTGACCAGAGATTACAAAGGTGTCTGTACAATTCAGGTTTGAAGCCACGTCTCCTGGGTGTAGAAACACAACACTTCTGTTAAGCTCTTTTCCTCAGTGTATATCTTAAAGCAAATTCCTTTAGTGCATTTTTAGTGGGCTGACAGAGAGGGAGAGCTTCCCATATGTATTTATTTTTTTTTAAGATGAGAAAAGAAATGCAAACATTACTTTCCAAGGCACATAATGCAAACACAAGATGTTCACAACCTATTTTATCATATTGAAGGCCTTCTCAGCAGTGTCTCAAGATAATTTAGACTTTTCTATCACAGGGCTGGGAGAAGGTTCTGCTCTTCTTCACCCAGACAGCAGGTCCCACCCTCGGTCCTTGGAGAAGAGTGCATGGAGGGCTTTCAAGGAGTCACAGTGTCATCATATGCTGAAACACCTTCACAATGGAGCCCGGATCACTGTGCAGATGCCTCCCAATATTGAGGGCCACTGGGTCTCTACTGGGTAAGGAAAACTAAAACAAGACACTTTTGATTGATACATGTGGAAGAGAACAGGGGAAGGAAGCAGAGAAGGAAGGATGAATATTCCCACTTTAAGCATCAGGGGAACTGTTTTCTTTAATATGGTGATGCTCTGAATTCCAGATGCTTTCTATATGTTTGTGCATAAAAGGAGGAGTGGCATTATGTACACTAGAATAGGATGCTATAAATCTGTCTTGATGAACCAATTTATAGTCTGGAATTTGAAAAGCATGCTGTGAAATATCTTTAAATCTCTCTTTGAATAGGAAGGAGCCCAAAAAGTTGCCAAAATGGATGCTTATTCAAACATAACATTGTGCTGTCTTCGACTACATGCATTCGATCCATTGAATGGGTCCTTGTTTTCAGAGCATATGTCTAGCACAGGTTTTATTAGCAAAAGAAAGTAAGAAGCTGTATTTCACTAGTTCTATTACTCCCTATACATGGTGTCTAGTAATTCAGAGAGCTGTTTTGCTTCCTGTATCTCAGCAGGCAATATTCACATGCTTACTTGAAGTGACTTGTAGTAGGAAAGACTGGAGCTTTTAACAGAAAACAGTGTATTTACACTAACTTGTGTGGATGTGAAAATGGGGACAAGTTTGAAGGCACAGAAGGACTTTCTCTGGGAAGTGGAATTTAACTGCCATTTAGAGCTTCAGGGGAAAAAAAGCGGGGGGGGGGGGGGTAAGAAACAACCCACCACAAAACCTGAATAATGCATGGTCCAAATTCAAGCCGAATAGAAGTTTTGCATTAACAGTCAGAAGACTGTATTAGCTGCCACCCCTGTTGAAAGTTTGAGTGGAAAAGCTGAGGACACGATGCTGCACGTCCTGTGCAGACCATAGCTGGAGGAACTTCACTGCGGGAGCTTCTACAGCAGCATAAAAGCCAGTTCTTTGTACTTGTTCTGTGGATGTTTGGCATTTCACTTTCTGATGTTGTCAGTCCTTTTGCTCAATCTACCACGCAAAAGAGAAGAATAGATGTTTAATAAGCTGCTACTTGTATGTAGAGAAGAATTGAGTCACATGGTGGTCCCAGACAAAAATAAAAGCAAACCGTGACTCAAGGTGTTTAAACCTACAAAGACAAAACCCCTAGCTATGATCACCGTAAAGCAGTATATTAATGACAGTGTTACAGCAGAGGAAATCATTGGTTAATTGGCAGCCCACAGATGCCTAGTTCTTATTTAATCCCATTCAGGCCAGAGGGACATCAGTCCCAAGTGTCTCTGTGGACCAAATGTGGATTTGCTCAGTCTTGTTACCTGTAGTGCACATGATGTGCCACCTTGCTAAAATGTTGTTTCCATCACTTTCTGTCTTCCCACAGCTGCGAAGTTAGAGCAGGCCCAGAGTTCATCACAAGATCTTACAGGTTCTACCACAATAATACATTTAAGGCCTACCAGTTTTATTACGGTGGCAATCGCTGCACAAACCCTATCTACACATTAGTGATACGTGGCAAAATACGTCTCCGCCAAGCATCCTGGATAATCCGAGGGGGTACAGAAGCTGATTATCAGCTACGCAACATACAGATCATATGCCACAACGAAGCAGTAGCCAAAAAATTAAGTGAGTTGGTGAACCATACGTGTCCTGGATTTATACCAGAAGATAGTCCCTGGGAGCAGGATGTGAGCTATGATTTGCTGAGAGAAGAGAATGGCTGTGAATGCACCAAAGCTCTGAATTTTGCCATGCACGAGCTCCAGCTGATCCGCGTGGAGAAGCAGTACCTGCACCACAATTTAGACCACCTTGTTGAGGAGCTATTTCTCGGGGACGTTCATACTGATGCTACTCAGAGGAGGTACTATCGGCCCTCTAGTTACCAACCTCCTCTTCAAAATGCCAAGGTACGTGTGTGTATATATGCCTTCTTTTTAAGATACTAGTGACAAAGCCCATGTTATCCAGCTCTTCTGAGTCAGTGCACTAGCATAGCCTAAAATGTAGATGTGCTGCTAATACAAGAAGTCAACTGCAGCCTTACAGGTGATGCAGCCAATTAACAAAAGATCACAGAACGTATTTTGTGGGGGACCACTTTGCTGTGGTTTATGTGACTGCATCAGATACGCAAAAAAAGTAGTCTGATGAACTAAGGTCCGTACAGGCCACTCTGAAGATGGAATCAAAGATTCATATGCAGAGGTAGGAGTGGTTGGCTGGGACCACGGCTGTAGGCTAGCAGCTGGGAAGAAAGCTTCATACAGGACTTAAGAAAGGAGAAGAGAAACAAGCATCAGTGGATGCTTGTATAGCTGTGGGAGTGCCAGGAAGTGAGGAAATCAAATTTTATCAGCATATGGAAGTTGTGTGATCCATAACCTGAAAAGAAAAAGAGGAAATTAGAGAGTGGACACATGAAAGGAGCAGCATGAAGGAAAAAAACCTGATGGGCTGTACAGATCATAGATCCAGATGCAGGCACACACATTAATAAAATGAAAAACAGGTGAATTTCAAATGGGGCTCTTATTCCATTTGATAATTCAGTTGTTAAAGGGGCCTCAAAGTGCCCTTAGCTTCATTGGGAACTGATCAACCCATAGTAAGCTAAATAAAAATCAAACGGGAAGAGCAGACACTGTTGGCCTCTAGCAGGAGGGCTGTCTATAGATTTTTCCTGGTGACATTTCAAAGGCAGACGGCGATTGGAACCACATTGCCGGGTGCCGCTGCCATTGGTGTGCTCCAGCTGGGCGCTGCCACAGCATCACTTCCAGCTAATGGGTTATCACGATTTTTAATCATCTCGTCACAAACGATTCAAAAATCAGCTACAGCTTATCAACAATAGCAGGAAACACAACAGGGGAGGGGAGAGTTTTGATGAGAAAGCCTTGGCTTTCCCTTCCATTCAAAACCGTCTGCCCTGGGTTGTGTCTGCCTCCTTTGAACATCAGATTTCAATAGTTCTGGACCTTCCATGATCTGCTTTTAATCATTTTAACAGCCTCGCCTAGGGGTAATTTTAATCCATGGTCACCTCTGTTTCTTTATGAAAGCTGCTGTCATTTCTGTCGTTCTTGTGCTCTCTTCAAATGACCAACGACAAATCTGCATTTTCTTTTTAAACATATTTTCCAAATGGAGAGTTTCAGTAGCAGCAGATGAACCACAGCATGTTCCTCATCAGAATTTTGCTCTTCTTCAATTAATTCAAGCAAGCACATTGACAACGTCTTTGCTTATTGGGGAGTGAGAGTTCTTTCCAAATCTCTTCCTTGCAGGTATCTCTAGGTACAAACTACCTGGCACTACCTATATGTTGTATCTGTAGAAAATATTGTAGATCTTTTTCTGACCACATGAAACAGAGAAAAAAATCTTGATTTAATTCACCCTAGCTGATTATTTTTTCTGGTCAAATCTGATTGTCTTATCTAGTTGTCTTATTATGAACTGATAGATAGCATCAGAAATGCTTACACTTCCACTCTGCAGTAATTTCATTGCAATCAGAATGATCAGGGGTACTATCAACCAGCTTTTTAAAAGTAAAGAGTTTTGTCCAAGTCTGCTGTAATTTTAGGACACACTGATAACAGTTTTCCTGCGTGTTCTCTTCTGCTATTGTAGCATCAGTGTTTCCTTTTAAAATATAATCACTCTAAAATATAATGCTCAAATTTAATGCATCGAGTCTTTTAAAAGAGGTCTGTTTCTTGAGCCAGGTTAGCTGAATAAACTGCAGAACACTGAACCTAACATTTACGTTCACAAAACTCATTATTTCAGGCATGATCTGATCCATTCTGACCTGAGTGGGTGATTTCTCTATGTCGAAGATAAGAGTAGCCTCAGCCTGCCTGCCTGAGTCACTCTGCACAGCATTATCCCTCAGTCCCACGTGTCCAGACGGGCAGTTCCTGCCCCAGGGGTACCCATGTGCTCCAATCGCAAAAAGCCTGCTGTGTGGACCCTTGAGAATCTTTCCCATCATATATTTACAAGAACTGCAGGAGAACAAGCCAACTAGTTATCCACTGGTGTTGATGAATACCAGATGAATACCAAAGAATACCAAATACAATTTTTGGTAGCCAGGTCTTGTCAAAGACTGAATCTTGAGTCTGAATTTATGACTCTGGAAGCCCATTCATATCAATACTATTGCCTGCAGAAAATGCTGTTAGTATAGAAAGCAAAGGATAATTTTGGGTACAGCAAAATATGTAGAGATTCCAGCACTCCATGATGAAACCCCTGCAGTTTAACAAATGGGGGCTCCAGGTCCTGACTTGCAGGCCACTGCTCAACTCTCAGTTTGGCCAGTTATGACTTCTGACAAGTTACATTACCTCTGTTCCTCCTCCAGCCATTGCCTGCATGATCTGCTTGGCTCCCACAATGTATATATATGTATATATAGAGCGTCTGGGTTTCTGGGACACCAGTCTCAGAGCCTTCAACAGGAAAAGATGTGTAGGTTTAACACAAGTTTTAAGTGTGCAACAGCATAACTTCTGTTTGTGGTTTTTGGTAGGTTCCTCTTGCTCAGATTTGATGTGAGATTTCTTTTTTATCAAGAGAAGGTAGGCCTGCTGACACTAGGCTTTCAGCACAATATAAAGAAACATACCCCTAAAAAATGAACCTTTGCCTCAGCTGCCATGAAAGACTCCTGGGTGTTGGTTTGTATCTGACCATGAAGTGATCTACACCAACAGGTTCTCAACCCAGCTGTCTGACCTCGTGTTTGCCAAATGTAGGAAGAATAGTAACAGAGATGGGTCTTTCTTTAAAGGTCCAGGCAAACGTACCGTTGAAAGGTTATAACCCTTCTTCTTTGAACTCTTTTCCTTTTCTAATTGTTGCTCCACTGGGACACAGCTGAAAATGAGTTTAAATGCTAAACTGAGTTTAAAACTACAAGTCACAGACTCCTCTGGAAACTGGACACCATGAATAAATAGAAACATTAAATCAACTTGTTTTTTTAAGGTTTCTACAGTCATACCAAGAGGTTAGGGAGGCCAGGAAATTGCTTCTGAAGTGAATCAGGTGTATTGTGTGGAATCTTTCATTTAAGGCTTTTTTCATTTCCTTTTTATTTATTTTTATTTTAAACTTATAAAGGCCTGCCTAAAATAAGTTAAGAAGATTCACATTTTGAGTTAAATTTATGGTTAAGCCTCTATATAGAAGAAAGTTCCACCCAGCTCAAGAGTTTACACAACCTGTAAGTTGGATGTGGTAGCCACATTCATTACTTATGTGGTTGAAATGAATGGTAATTAAAAGCAAATGATTGCTGGATACGTTAGGAATGCCAAAGCCACATGATGAGGACTTTAAACAAATAGAATTGGATCTTCTCCAAATTCCTGCAGTGATTTCACTACAGGATGGTAAATCAAAAGGGCTGTCCAAAAACCAGACAGCTTTATGCTGAGCTACAAATCTGAATAAATTCACAGATTACTGTATCTCAAGGGTTCATATAATATCAGGGAGCTTTTCAAAATATATAATATGTCATCTCTTAAGGCTTTACAAATACCTTTAGATAAGAGCATACCTTAAACAAATTCCTCCTGTAAAATACATGGAAGTTCCTAGCTGCAGCTGAATAGGCCAATGTCTAGATTTATCTTAACAGTCCTCTAGCCTTGCTCAAGACACCAGTTAGGACTTCCTGATGAACAGGGCTGAACATTTTAATGTCTCTTGACATTGAGAGTTTATCAAGGGATTCAAGCTATTGCCCATGCAGCTTTTTAGAATAGAATCATAGAGTAGTTAGGGTTGGAAAGGACCTTAAGATCATCTAGTTCCAAACCCCCTGCCATGAGCAGGGACACCACACACTAAACTATGTCACCCAAGGCTCTGTCCAGCCTGGCCTTGAACACCTCCAAGGATGAAGCATTCACAACTTCCTTGGGCAACCCATTCCAGTGCCTCACCACCCTCACTGTGAAGAACTTCTTCCTTAGATCTAACCTAAACTTCCCCTGTTTAAGTTTAAAGCCATTACCCCTTGTCCTACCACTAGAGTCCCTAATGAAGAGTCCCTCCCCAGCATCCTTGTAGGCCCCCTTCAGACACTGGAAGGCTGCTATGAGGTCTGCACGCAGCCTTCTCTTCTCCAGGCTGAACAGCCTCAACTTTCTCAAGCCTGTCTTCACATGGGAGGTGCTCCAGCCCTCTTGTCATCCTCGTGGTCCTTCTCTGGACTTGCTCCAACAGCTCCGTGTCCTTTTTATGTTGAGGACACCAGAACTGTACACAATACTCCAAGTGAGGCCCCACAAGAGCAGAGTAGAGGGGCAGGATCACCTCCTTTGACCTGCTGGTCACACTTCTTTTGATGCAGCCCAGGATACGGTTGGCTTTCTGGGCTGCAAGCGCACACTGAAGCCGGCTCATGTCAAGTTTCTCATTTCAGCCAGCATGACAGACCACACGGGTAAAAAGGGCAGGACAGGGGAACTGCTTGGCCATCATCATACATATATACAAAATATTCCCAATTAGGACAACATCAAGGAGTCTGGTTGATGGGTTGTAAAATCACATCTTATTTACACATACATCCTTGGACTTGTAGCGTGAAAGAAGGTTCAAATGCAGTATTCATCTGATATGCAGAAGGACAGAAGATGTTTTCAGAGATAACTGCTCTAAAACTACAGGAAATGTGTGCAACAGCAATACTGGAACACTTACTCCACATGTAATTGCCTCAGCAATAGTGCTTTGTAAACAAAGAACTCCTTGTGCTATTTTATCATCTGACAGAGTAACGGGAAAGATCAGAGCAGAGCTGTGATGACCGGTCATTCTAGTGAGATCATTATTTAGGAAAAAAGTTGGAATGCTCTGGAACATCACAAGCAACCTAGGA